AAAAATATTTGGAAATGTTCCTGTTTCTCTGCCAAGAAAACCCATCAGTTTTCTGTAATGGGATTTTACTTCAGTTTTACTCTTTTTGAACAGCTTTGAAATGTATACCACCGGTGTCTATCTGTGTAAGAATTTCAAAATGAATCTTTCAGGCTCATTAATTTTATTCTAAAGAAATAGAAATATTAGTCTGTTGTAGCAGAAGCACCTTAAAAACTAAAAGCATTTCGGCATGTTTTCATATATCAACACTTCTTCAGTCATATAAAAGAAGCTGTTACAAGTTATATTTCCTTAAAAAAAACAAAGCCTCCATAAAGGGGGGGGGGAAACTGGAGGGGGGAATTGGCCTTTCTCCTTTTTCTTTACTATGGGACTAGATGTGCACCCTACAACCACTGGAGGCCAAAATACTACAATTACAATTGGCAGACTCTAACAAGTTGTCAATCAGATATACAGACTTTCTAACACATCATTTGAACTCTTCATAAAAGACAATTGGAAGCATTTAGAATTGGGTTTCCAATTTTATTTGTTCCAGGAAATCAATCATCTAAATGATTATTTATAAGCATAAATTATACACACAATGCACGCATACACATGCACACAAATACATTCTCACTGTCTCACGTGCTCTTTCTTTCTCATTCTCTCCCATTCTCTCAGTATATGTGTGTACTATGTATATTCTGAAATGAATAAGACTTTTCTATTACTTTCCCAAAAGTATTTTTGTTTAAACTTTGCTTGATAGTTTACTTGTTTGTTGTAAAAGTAGCCAGACTAGTACACAGTTTCTTTATATATATATATATATATATAGCTTCATTGCTTTGCTTACATTTACTATTTTCCCGTGAGTACTTTAAAGCTATTATCTTAAAGACCTTAATTATACATATCTCAGGGTAACAGTCTTCAGATTACTGATTCCAGAGCAGTCTCTGCAGACAATAGCTGAACCTCCATGAAAAAAAGCTTGAAGGGATTTAAATATGGGAGTCTGCGTATGTTGAGAAAAAGACGGACAGCCTTTTTCGTAGACTTTGAAAGAGCCCCCAGCATGAAGGAAACAATGCCGGTTTGCTGACCTTGTCTCAAACAGCATTCTTCTGGTTCATGATGAAATAGCACTTACACCTTTTAGAGTTTTATAAAATATCCACTAAAAGCTTTTGTAGTATTAGAATATTTTATTGATGGTGCATTCATATGTTTATTAAGACTTTGAAACTTGTTTTATTTTAAGATTTTTTTTGTTTGCCTTTTTTTACTTTGCACCGTTTATAAGCCTTGGAAATAGCTTGCTCACGGAAGTGAGATAAATAATATAAGGTGTATATAGCTTCTCTTTAGATAAACCAATACCCAGAAAAGGTAGAGATCTTTGCAAGGAGAAAATGAAGTTTCCTTATATGAAATATTGTTGAAACGGGAAATGGGTAACTAGACAAAGGGTGGAATCTTATAGGAGGAGCTAATTGTAAAGTATATATAAGCTGCACTGAATGGAAGGGTTCTTGTAGACACACACCTAACAGCTTGTTTTATTGCTTTTGGTTGAAAAATAAAGAACTTAATTCATGCAATTGCCTGGGGCTTTGTTTGTTTTTTGTTTGTTTTATTCCAGCTAACAAACAAACTTGGTAAGGAATAAATATTTCAACATATCTATGCTTTCCCTGTAATCGACGTATTAGGACTGATTTTTGAAAAAAATAATAATAGTAAAACTTAGAAAAACTAAGAAAAATAATTGTGCCTCTAGTCTTGATGCTTATTTGTTGAAGGTAAGAGCAGGGTATTCTTACATGATGATTAATAAGAGAGTACTAAATATATAACAAATAATATTTTTAACAATAAACAGAATTAAAGATAGTTGACAATTTATTAATAATAAATTATTATAATACATGGGTTGGTGGTAATTGATATGATAAGTGATTATATGTGGGTAAAATGTTATAATTTGATAACTAGTTTTTATGAATAACTAGATTACTAAACAGAGTCAAGGTTATAATAATGACTTCTAAAAAATTATGTTTAGCAAACAGCTCCTCTATTTAGCAATGGCAGTATAGTCCCTTCAAAATATAAGTGTCTGTAGATATATTTTCCTGATGATTCTCTAATATTGCTTTCTTTTGGCTCCTAATTTTTAGTTTTGTTTTAGTTTTTCCTATGGTAGACAAATTCATTTGCAAATTCTTTTATATAACTTTTTCTAAGCTGTACTTGGTCTTTGAGTGGGACAATACTCCAAAAAGCTGGAGATGGGACTGAGAAAAAAACTAAATCTGATCTGTCTGCATTAAACTTTGCTTTATACCAGACAGAGTAAAAATGTTAGAAATGACCTTGTTAAAACAAAGTACATACAACATTCTGGTCTCCTTGAAATTAGTTCAGCCAGGCAAAAATAATTATATGGACACATTCAATATGGTCTGCCTAAATAATATGCAAACATTGATGCAGTTCTAGTCAAAGTTGCATAATTAATTAGAATTTGTATTACCAAATATTAAAAATCTCTCATGGGTTCATTGATTTGGAAAATTAGTGAATCCTCTTAAATGATTCACTAACTATTAAGGACATTATTTTTTATTTGTTTCCAGTTTTTTAAAAAAGGTCTCTGATTGAGTCTTGTTATGATGTTCTGATCATTATTCTATGCTATTACATGGGGAACACAAAAATGGACAAAATGAAAAAGGGTATTTTGCCTCATATCACTTTTAGAAAAGAGCTAAATCTGAATATTTTTCAAGCAGAAGTTATGTACAGTATATATTGAGTATATAATTACTCAAATTTATTTATTTGACAAATTTATTTCCACTCTGCTACACTTTCACATGTTAAAGTGTAAGCCTACATGGTCCTTTGTGCCTCAATCCATGGTATGAGCCCTTTGGAGATTTCTACTTTGACTCCAATCTCTGGGTGGGAAATTCAAGAAACCTGCAGATTCTGTATCAAAGTTCACAATTTCACCCTAACCAATTCATTATTTTCAAATTGTGTGTTATGCAAAACTAAAGGCACATAAGACTTGTCTTAGATCAACATTAGAAAAAGATAGCAATACTGGCATGTGAAATAACAAGGATTAGAAGAACACTTTGACCAATCCTATCAAATGAAGGTAAATTGTAGACAGCAAAATTGATTTATAGCATGAAACTGGGACACATTTGCCAGGAGTGAAATTAACTGATGGTTTCAATAATATTAAAATTAATATCTCGGTAGAAATATATTTTCAGGTAAGGTAGCCCTGAGACCAATGTGACTAGATGTGACTAGACCAAGACTTCTTTTTCAGTGAAATTTCAACTTTTTAAAAAACAAATACTGTAACTTTTAGTTTCCATTTCTTTATTGTTTGAAATTATTTGTGCTCTTCATTTTCACTGTTGCAGAAAACATAGTAAGTCATACCATTTTTTTCATCAATGCCTGATCAGTTCCTGCTTCATTTTAAATGAAACTGCAAACGGTACTGTTCTCTTACAGGCAAGTTTTTTCAATCCCAACTTAGGCAAGTTTCCCTCCATAAGAGCTTTGTTCATAATGCTTTGGAATATTTTTCTTCCATATGTTAAATTTTTGAAATGTCTACAATATATCACTTATTTTAGTTTAACGTTAGAGTGGGGAGATGGTATATCTTAGTAATAAAGCAGATGGATTTTAAGCAACGTTTCCAGGTAAGGCTGAGAAAATATATTATGCAAAACTCTAGAGAGCTATTGCCAGTAATTGCTGCCTATGCTGTAGATGGAAAAATGGACTGATTCAGGCTGAGGTAGGTTATTTTCCTATAATCTGCCTGATCTATCAGGTTAGATAGGATGGGTACAATCCATATCCTTTCCTTTAAATGCTGCCATCCAATGAGATTTGGAAGATGCCCAGGGTGGGATTCTACCAGTTTGGACTGGTTCAAGCGAGCCGGTAGCTTCGAAGATCAGCTGGGAGTGAACCGATTTGCTTCCATGAGCAAGTAGCCCCTCCCACCTACCCTTGTGCTATACCTACCTTTATCTTCTCAGCTGGGTCATATGGCATAGTGGATTGCCGCATCTCAGTTGTGTTCCTTCCCAAGCACTGATCCCGATGGTAAGCATTCTCTAAATTGTGCACATATGCGTAGCATGCATCCTGGTGAAGGATGCGTACTCAGTGAATCGGTTCTTAAACCATTAGGATCCCATTCCTGAAGTATGCCTTCAAGTAAAGTCCATATAGATGTGCCCAACCACTGAAAGAAAATTGAAATTAGAGAGGGCTAGACAAAGCTTCCTGAGACAATGCAGGTAGAAATAATGTATGCAAACATTGTGCCTTCTTCATGGAATTTTTCTTCGCGGTCTTAACATCTAAACAGTTAGTTGATTTCCTTTGTGTTATTAAATCATTAATAAACATATCAGTAAATAAATCATAGATGAATGAAAGTTTACCATAAAATAATTTCGAAGATCTGAAAAAGTTATTATATAAGAACAATGCAGCAATTTACAACATTTATTTCTTTTCTACCATTTTCTCTGGAAGATAAAACTTATGAATAACCAAGGGATATGTAAAAACAATTGCAAATCAACCTCAGGTATTAATTGTTTTAGTTTCAACAAAGTGAGTTCAACCAACTGGATTAAATTATATTCTTTTGATTTATTTAAAATTCTTTAAATGTTAATAACAAAACAACAATTTTATGAGTGTTTAGATCTAAGAAAGATATTACCATCCTACAGATTCAGGTACTGGTGAAATTTAGATGCAAGGATTAAACATAATTTATTCAATGGCAAAAGGGCACTTAATCTTTCCCCCTTAGAGTGTTAAAGAAGCTCCTATTTCACTGAAACAAAAATCCATCAAAAGACATTATTCATAGGTGTCTGAGAATTCTGTTTTCCCGTACTTAAATATATTTCATTAATTTCAGTCTTTCCTTTCTTTTTCTGTTACAGTTATACAAGCAGAGTGGTTACAAATGGATTGAAAGCCCAAATGAATAATCCAGAGCTGGTAGTCAGAGGGTTGGATCCACAGATAAGTCATTTAATTGACAAGTTGAAACATTTTAATCAGGTAAGTATTTATGTTTGGAAAACTGAAAAAGCTTTTGTAAAAGCTTTTCTTGTGTGCCTTTTCTATTCACCATTCTTGCCCACCTCCTCATCCTTTTCATGCACATGCACACTGGAGGGAAAACATCTCACTCCATACTTTACAGGGAGATGAGCATTCTAGAAACATGAAAAACATCTTCATTGAGGACCATGTGTTATACTTGTAAAAGCTGGTCCCATAACCCTTCTTCACAATTTTGAAGAATGTGCATTCATCAGTGTTGTTAAGGTAATACCAAAGATTTTTCCCTCCATATCATTTGAAATGACCTCTTTTAGTGCAGAATAACCAGAACATAGCTATATTTTGTATTATGTCTAATAGGAAATCTTGACCGGAACTGAATTGAATTGAACTGAACTGATCTAAAACACACATTGTGAGATAATTAAGGTTATCCACATTGACTTTTCAGCAATTTTTAAAAGAAATACATTTAATTTAGAGTTTATCTACTGACCTGGCAAGATGACACAAAGTTGCAGTAAACTCCTTTGATAGTCCAAGAAGTTGAATGTGTACAAAATTCCAATAGTTCTGTACTCATATAGAGAATTCTATAGAGTTAGACTCTGTTTACGATGGCACAGTGCAGTAAGATTTCAAAATATCCTCCACTAACCATATGGGGTACTATTAAAATAGCTTTTAAAGTTTTCCTGAAAATATATTTTTCTGAACAAAAGATGATCTGCCAGTAGGCATGTCAGAATCATCATGAACTTGTGCTGTCAAATTATTCACTTGAGCTCCGAGAGCTGTGTGCAGCCATCTGCTGAGAACTTTGATCTGTCCCTTGATACTGAATATATTAAAGTTTGTATTATTATGACATTGCACTAATGTGTATGCACTGCCAGTCCAAATTAGCTAGAACAACCTACCATATTTAACTGAAATTGTTTTTCATTAATGTAAGCATATTTTCTTGTCTAACTCGAGAAAGTGTTGCTATGGGTTGGTAATGACAGGGTAGCATCTCTCCCCAGTTGTTCTCCCTTAGAAGGTAGGCAATTTTTGACAGTTGCTACTAATGGTAATGTTGATTGTGCTGATTCATGTCAAAAAAGAGATAAACACTGTGTCTCTTATAGCTCATTGCTTTTGCTTTTTATTCTGGGACTTGAGGTTAGAAGTCTTTTATGTTGACAAAAGCCTATCTCCAATCTGATGCCACCTTGCAAATGTTGTTTACATTTTTTAATCAAAAGCAATGTGTGGTATGGCAAGACGGCCTACCATACAAAGGGACAAAGTCACCCTCACCATCAGTGGGGATGATATATATCCCCTTAGGTGATAGATGATGAGAAATGAGATTTTGAAGAAATACCTAGGAGCCACACACTCTTCCTTTGCACTACATAAATTAGAATGTTACTTTCTACAACAATGGAAAGAATATCCCACAATCGTTGTTAAAGAAGATTTCTTCTTCAATTTCATCCATGGAACCGAAGAGTATATTCTCTTATTCTACAGCTCAGACAACAAAATGTCTTGACTAGCCTTGCAGGAAGAAAACATTAAGTATTCCATTAGGCTCAGCCTGCTGGGTGCCATCTGTAGCTTTTCAGATCCTGGCCTTCAGCACTAGAACATAACCTGCACTTGAAAAGTAGTAATTCCATGAATGGTATAACATTACATTCTGTCTTCAATTACTCCTCCATCAAGTAAAGGTTTATTCTGTGACTTTCTTTTGACCTTTAAGAGAAAACATTTGTTAAGTGATGTTTTCCCCCTAACAAATACAGCTCTGTAAAATGTGCTTGATTGCATGAATTAAAGAAAATACTGATTATTGCCTTAAGAAGCTTTATTGTTAAGCATTACTAATTACTCCTCTCATGAGTTTAGTGAGCTTTTATCATAGATAAAATAATCAAAGAAGATTCTACTTTTTAAAATATGTAGTAGTTTATGTATATTTTTTTATCTTAGAGTTGGATTAATTAATGAACAAAAGCTCACACTCAAAAGATAAGTAAAGCTGCAATTCTATATGCATGTTTGTTAAATTTAATTGGACCCGTTAATAAATAGATATCTTCAGGAATTCTAGTGTAAATCATAATATTACAGTATTATCCTATAATGGATAACACCTCAGTATTATCCTGAATACCTCATGCCCCTATATATATATAACAGTTGATGAAAAACTATCTTGAATATTCTTCCTTTTCTTCTTTTTTTTAAATTTTGAGTATGGCAGCAATTAACAAACTAGACACTTTCTACTTTAGCAGAAAATTCTTGTCATCTACTTACTAGTAAGTCATATTCATTTTCTGAAACAATACAGGAAGGGCATGAGTATTGCAAGGAAGAATTGGAGAGGGTGCTTCCATCACAGTTCGATGAATAGAAACTGCATAGATGTATCCAGTAAATCACTAGGTGTAGAGTTGAAATCAAAGGATGTTCTATCTTTTAATAAGTTAAAAAGTAAAGGAGTCCCTGCAGATTTTACTCCGCTAGGCATTGCCGACTATAGTGGGTAGTGCTCATCTCTGTTTCAAGGCCATTGAGCCAGCACTGTACGAGGACATTTCCATGATCATGTGGCCAGCAAGATGTCATGGAGTGCTGTTACCTTCCCATCACAGTGGTACCTATTTATGTAATTATATTGGCATGCTTTCAAACTACTAGATTGGCAGGAGCTGGGGTAAGGTTGGGAGAGTTCACCCCGTCATGTGATGTTCAGGTCTCGAAGCAGTTAACAAGCCCAGCATTTTAACTGCTGAGCCACCATGCTGCCACATACCTTTTAAGATATGTAGTTAATATATTTTATTATTTGTATCGGCTGAAATGATTATCATTATCTTCATGTTGACAATAAGTTTAAATTATTTAAACTTGTGCTGTCTTTATATGAAAACCAAAAGACATGCACTTGCCAGGTCTATATCCCAGGGAAATTTTTAAAATGAATTTTGTGTTGATCCCTGTTGTGCTCAGTTAAAGAATTGTTTGATGATAAATATACGATTCAACTATATTGCCATATCAAAAAATAGTAAACAAATCCTGAGTTTGATTATTAAACATTAGTATGCATGAAAAATATGTGGTCTTAAGTCTTTGTCCTGCTTTAAAATATAGTTCCATTCAACATCCTCAGAACATCCCTGCTGAATTTAGCTTATGGAAATAAAATCTGCAAACTCCATTTGAGTCTCTCTAATGTAAGATTTCAGTATCCTATTCCTAGGTCTAAACATTAGTAAAATTGGGTTAAATAGGAAAATGTGTTTATGCTGCTTAGATCTTCAAATTGATCTCAGTTCCATAAGTAACTTGAAAAACAACCAACATTTCAAAGTATTGTGAATGAATGCTACACATGGAGTGTTCTTCCATGTGAGATTTCATACTTGAGCAGAAGATTCCACAGTTGCATCTGATTCAGAAAAGTGATTATTCCTAATCCTCCCCATCATTTTAGTATTTTAGAAATAGTTTGTAGTTTTATCTTACATTGCATTGGTCCTTGTTATTAAGCTGCAAATTGTATAGGTTGCATTAAAATGCAACGGAACATCTTCCTTTCATCCAGATTTATGCAATGATACAGAAACTGCCTGTTGAAAAATGATAAAATCGTATCATTTTTCCATAGAGCTCGGATTTGTCCTTTCTGATAGCTGGTTTCTTGGAATTTTAGATACAGAGATATCATGGACTAGAGAAGATGGTAGAAGTGCAAATATTCTTCTTTTCACGCACTCATGTCCATGTTTATACTTATACCTGTACATGTTTTGACAAACTAAATAAATACATAAAATAAATAAAAATAATTGTCCTCTACCACTCCCAAGCTTTTATTTATTGAGATTTAACTAGTTTTTGCACCTGTGGCTTAACTTCTTGTTAGACTGAAACATCATTTATTCCAGAAACAATGATTCAGTCATTTGGGAGATTTTAGATGAAAAGATTTTAGATGAAAAGCCCCCAAATTTGCCTTAAGTCAAGTAAGAAAATCAAAGTGGAGATATTGCTTTTCTGCATAAGTAATATTTCTGGAATCTTTGCAATTTCTTAATCTAACTTCTGGTATGAAAAGTATTTGCTGCTTTCTAGTGTTGTCAATGGATTTTTGATGTAATTCAAATTACAAATATTCTGTTTGTTTTGTGAAAAACAGAAACTTTAGCTATAATTAAACTAAAGATTACTAACAAGCTTCAGAGTTAAAAACAGAAGATTATAGGTATAGGTATAGATTCTGCAAAATGTCTCATTTAAGCATAAATACATTTCAACAGAAAAAAAGGATATTAATATAAATTCTCCCTATCTTATTGTTATGTGCTAGCAAGTATATAATCCTAAGTGATTACTTATTCACATGCTGTTTCTCTGGGTATACAGGTATTATTGAATATTCCTCTTGCAAATTGTTTCAAGAATTATTTGCACAGATGACCTATTATGTACATTTTGTGTGAGCTTTTCTGTGTTCATTAGGAAAAATTAATCATACGTCAGAGCGCTACACTGAATTATGGTGACAGAATCAAATAGCAGCATATATACTAAATGCATAATATAAGAATAATTAAAATGAAAAAAATCATTTTTTCATTTAAAAGGTATATTTTATAGGAAATATACACATCTGTTTAAGTCTCTAAGGGAACTCTCGGAGTTTTATATATTATATTTTATTCCAATTTATTCAATTTATTTTTTATTGTGTGCTGGAAAATTTGAATTTGTAGTTGCATATAATTTTTTGAAAATGCTGCTAGCATTAAACACTTGTCAGATCCTCTCCATTAGATAATTAGGAAAGAAGACCACGAGACTCCATGAGTAGAAATCAAGTGTACTTTTACTAATTATAAATGATTAAAGGCATAGCGAAGCGAAGTCTGATTATTTAGGCGCAAAAGCGATTGATATATAGAATAGCCCATTCCCCACCCCTTGGCATCACA